GATCGCCACGGCCAGCCACGACCAACATCAAACATGAATATCATTGAGGGCGTGAGAGATAGGATTTATTATCTGAGGAGGTGAAGGGACTGCTGTCTACGGGCGCCCCCTCCCGCGGGCGCGACCCCTGCCCTTCGCAGCACCACGGCCCGCGGGGCCCTTAGAGGCTTTCGGGGCGGGCGCTTCAGCCTCGCTGCAACTCGCCGTCTCGGCGCGGCGCTTCACAGGGCCCGAGGGGAGCTCAGGGGGGCGCAAAATCTCACAGTCTTTCTCAATTGCCTTCACATTTGTGAGGGTCGGGATCTGGATCTCGATAGAAGTGCTGGACCTTCTCGGCCCAGCAGGCCCGCGACTGCACTGGACGACCACTGGAAAGCTACTCCAAACAACGTTTGCAATTGATGAGTCCTTGGCTGGCTGCGCGGCAAAGAAAGGGCACAGAAACGGGTCCTTACTCTTGGCTCCCCCGTTGGTCGCAGCTGGGAGGTCGAGCTTTGGCACAATCCACATTTTGCAGGGGAGCCCTTCGAAGGAAGACCTCAAGTCCACTTCTACTGCGCCAGTCGGCACCTTTTCGCCGACGCCAATCACGGGGGAGAGAGGCACCAGCACAAGGCCACCAGGCTTAAATCGCGAGGTAGCGAACAAACCTTCACACACAGTTTTCGGTGACAACGAATACTGAACCTCTAGATTCACATCATGACAGTTCTCGAAGGCAGCATAAAGGGCGGCCTTGACAGCCGAGCGGGCCTTGTCAATCATGATGTCCTTGTGCTCCTATGCGCGGACGGGCCCCTTTCCTCCCCTTCATCATTCCTCTGTCTCCTCCCTCCTCCTCCTCCCTCCTCCTCCTCCTCCTCCTCCTCCTCCTCCTCCTCCTCCCTCCCTCCTACCTCCTCCCTACCCTTCTCATCCTTCCTCCCTCCTCCTCCTCCCTCCTCTTCCTTCGCTTCTCCGCTCCCTCCTGATAGCCCCTCCTCCCTCCTGTTACTCCGTCTTACCTCTTCAAGTCCTCCTCATCCTCCTCATCCTCCTCCTCCTCCTCTGCTTCCTCCTCCTCCTCCTCCTCCTCTGCCCCCCTGTGGGCAACGCTGTCGGCTCCATCGGGCCGTGCTCCGACAGCGAAGCCACCAGCTTGTCGTTGGGGACGAACACCTGGCGGTGGAAAGGACGGGGGGGAGAATGGATGTTGGGAGGAGGCCATCCCGGATGCTGGTTTCGTTGGTTGGCAAGTTTTTCTTGATCCCGAAGGTTTGCTGTTCGATTTGGGGAACGCAACTTACTCAAACCAATGTGTTGTATGGGGGTAAGTTGTCAATATCTCTATCATTTATGGTTTCGCCCTTCCTCTCTAGGTGTACTACTTCGTTCTATGCCATCGCCACCCTATCTCTCTCTATATATATATATGTTGTGCATTTTCCACTATATAGTTGCGTACACATGCTAAGCATATTTGGCATCCATATATACACAATTGTACATGTAGGTGTGTGTACAGCAAACCACACTGTGCACCCTACATACCACATATATGTGCGTACACATACAATACCCCATCTACCAAATATCCACATATACATATATATACATATATATACAGATACATACAAGCCCACAGATGTGTACATATGTATCACATGGTGGAGCCAACCCTATCCCCACTATGTATGTGTACCGATAGGTGACAATGGTAGCGGATGCGCCTTGAAGCCGTCGGCCATGGCGTCGAAGGCCACCTCGATGGTCTCGGAGTCCGTCTCCAGGAAGGGGTCGGCCTGGCTGGTCAGCTTCGCCACGGTGTCCGTCAGCTCCTTGACCTGGTACTTGATATTCATCTCGTCGTCCTTCTTTTGGACCCAAGTGCCAATCACGAAGCCCATGGACTGCACCGCCGTGGCCGTGAGCCCTGTGGCGCCGAACTCCACCAAGCCTTTCTCTTGTTTGGGCGAGACCACCTCATCATACTCCCAGGGGGGCTTCACAGACTTGGTGTCGGGGAACTTGTTGTAGAGCTCCTTGAGGAAGGCCTGCGCGCAGTCAGCCGTCGAGGAGAACGTCGCACGGGTCTTGGCGCGCTTGTTGTGGATTGTCATCACCAAACGAACCTGGAGGTCCCCCATGATCTTAGAAACGAACGCGGGTGGCAACTCTTTGAACTTATTCAAGTACTCCCTTGCACATCTGATCCTGGCCACTGCCTCGATGCACTGCGGTTTCAGCTTGCCTCCGATGGCGGAGAAATCCGCCGACGACAAGAGCTTGCTCTCGTTGTTCTTGCTGAAGCTTTCTGGTGATGTTATGCACGCCTTTGCCAAACTCAATATGTATTCTGGCCCCTGGAGGAACTCGAGCTCCGCCAACGACTTCCAAGTCTGAGCTCCAACCTTCCGCGAAAACTTCAAGCCATTGGAAAACTCCCTGAGGTCCTCGAGGAAGTGGGCGTCACTGCCCCCTGACCACTTGCCGACAAACAAGCACATTGCCGAGATCAGAGGCTCCATGCCCGAGCTCTCCTTCCCCAAGTCAGCAGCGATGGCATCCCACTTGGGGTCCTTGAAAGCCTGAGGGGGAAGCAGCACTGGGAGGAGGAGGAGGAGGAGGAGGAGGAGGAGGAGGAGGAGGAGGAGGATCATACTGAGAATGACGAGGAAGAGAAGCAGAAGGAGGAGGAGGAGGATGAGAGGAGGAGGAGGAGGGAGCTGACGGAGTGGGGGGAGGTTGAGGATGATGACCACACAAAGAGGAGGGGGGATAGGTAGCACCAGCATCGGCAACGCAGGTTTACCGAAGTGCCTTGATGTTCATCTGCGCACTCTTGTGGATCTGCAACAAGAGTCCGACCTCAGTGAGCTCCTGGTTGGACCCGTGGGTTTTGTTGAAGGCGTCCGCCAAGAACGTCGGTAGCTCGGGGCACACTTCTTCAACTTGGTGTCGAATCACTTGCCACTCCAGCCCCTTCTCAAGAGGCTCTCTGAGGGACGCACATTTCTCCAAGACTTTGGTTTTACATATCTTCCCGTCCTCGTTCGCGAACTCCCTCGTCCAGTCGCAACAAATGCACTCGTTGTTCACAATGCGCAATGTCCCGTTAGTGTGGGAGGCGGCCACTGTCAGAAGGCGCATGTCTTGTTTCAATATGTGGGGCAGCATCCCGTCTGACCCACTGGCCAGGTCGAACTGGAAGGTGGCCAGGTCCTCGAACTTCTCGCGGTTCGGGCTCACCTCGAATGCGACGCATGTGTTGGCCTCGCTGTAAGAGAAGCCGTGGTTGGATATCTTGTGCAACAATGCGTGTACGCTGTGTGCTACTAATCCAAGCCCCCACCTGTTCCTCGGGTGTGGGGCTACCTTGTCTGGTTTCTCCCACGTCCTGTATAGCAGACCGTGATCTCCGAGCAGTTTCAGGATTTGGTCAGCTGCGGCACGCTTCTGCTTACTGTGCACGTCGTTGCTCAACATCTCTGCGCACGTCGCATTAATTCTCGGAGCCACATCTCTTAAGTTTTTTTCCGTGGTCCAGTCCAGCCCTGGCTCACACTTGAAATCGGTCATCCTGCTGAAGGAAAGGTGGGCGCTGGGAGCGCAAAGGGGCTCCGCCGAAAGGCTTGAGCCCAAATGTCTATGACCGACGGGGCGCCTTTGCACAAATCTTCGAACTTCAGGAAAAAATATTGCAGAATAATTCCAAAATCAGGCCGATGCTGCCCGAAAAACGCGTGCGGGACCACCTAGATTCAAGGTTTCTTGGGGGGCGCTAACCTACTTAGCGGCCCTTGGGTAAGTAGGTTAGCTAAGTACTTACTAAGGGTTAGCTAAGTAAGTTATAACTGGTTATGCTAAGCTGTTGAAGTTACTTAGCATGGTTACGGTAAGTAGTTAGCTAACCTACTTATTAACCAGCCCAACCACTTGAATAGGTTATCCTAACCTATCTATCCTGTTAGCATAACTTCCTAACTAGTTAGGCACGTTATAACTAACATAGGCAACATATAACTTGCTTATAAGTAACATACTAACTACATATAACCACTTATAACATACCTATCCTGCTTACGAAGCAGGGCGGTGATTCAAGAAAAGGAGCCTCCAAGAGGCCCACGAACGGCCTCCAGGAGGCCACGAACGCGCAGGCAAACGCCTGCGATGGCACAATACGGGCTGGCGGAGTGAGCGAAGCGATTAAATACTTGCCACCTCATGACTGGCAGGCACAAGCATGATATGCAAGCGTAGCATGACGATGCACATCTGCAAACGTTCCCATTGCGCTGGCGGTGCCTACTCCATGCGCGTGTCTTCCACCTGCGCCTCATTGTCCTCCTCACCCCTGTTCCTCTTTCCCACTTGTGCAGACACGACGGGGTGTCATTGGTGCGACAGAATGCCGGACTGTGCCAAACTAGCTGCGCTGCACTCGCGCAGTGGACGTAAACTAAATAAACAATGACGATCCTGAGTTATTCCATGAACATCCGAATGCGGGACCCGGAGCAGCAGACACAGGAGCGGGAACGGGAAGACCAGGAGAAGGCGGAGGACCAGGAGAAGCAGGACTTGCAGGAGTAGCTTGATGAGCAACATGAGGACAAGAGCACGCGCAGGGGTAGGAGCAATGGCAGGATCAGTAAGATGAGACGGGCGCTCTCTGAAACGGACCACGCTATCACTTTCCTGTGCAATCCTCGCGCGCCCGCGCGCTCCCTCGAAGATCCCCTCCCAAAACAACGTATAGCAGGCAAACAAATTCTGACCAGACCTGCGCCGTCGAAAAACAAATCGTGGAGTCGGGGCTTTTGACCTGTTGGCCCGATACTTTGTTGCATAGAGGACTTTCGAGCCGGGTCGATCCAAGGGGGCTCCGAGGGCCGAGATGGTGGACACGGGGAGTCCGAAACTCTGGGCAAACGTTCGCCGTGGTCTTCTTGGAAACGCCGGATGCACGAATGCTTCGCAGGCTCGGTCAAGGCGGAAACAGGCGACTGCATCGCCGCCTCTGGCGCTGCCGCTGCCGTGGCCGCGGGCGCAGGTGTGCCAGGGGAGCCGAAGATGCCCGGGCGGGGTCCAAGGGGCGTCGCGTTCACGCCTGCGGCCTTCCCAGCGGGGGGCTGCGATGCCGTGGCCGCGGGCGCAGGTGTGCCGGGGGAACCGAAGATGCCCGGGCGGGGTCCAAGGGGCGTCGCGTTCACGCCTGCGGTCTTCCCAGCGGGGGGCTGCGGCGCAGGTGTGCCAGGGGAGCTGAAGATGCCCGGGCGGGGTCCAAGGGGCGTCGCGTTCACGCCTGCGGCCTTCCCAGCGGGGGGCTGCGATGCCGTGGCCGCGGGCGCAGGTGTGCCAGGGGAGCCGAAGATGCCCGGGCGGGGTCCGAGGGGCGTCGCGTTCACGCCTGCGGCCTTCCCAGCGGGGGGCTGCGGCGCAGGTGTGCCGGGGGAGCCGAAGATGCCCGGGCGGGGTCCAAGGGGCGTCGCGTTCACGCCTGCGGCCTTCCCGGCGGGAGGCCGCGCTGCCGTGGACGCGGGCGCAGGTGTGCCGGGGAAGCTGAAGATGCCCGGGGGGGCAGCTGGTCCAGGGGGCGTCGCGTTCACGCCTGCGGCCTTCCCGGCGGGGGGCATGGGATCGGGCGGAGCGGCTGCGGCGGCCTCGGGCCCTGGTGCCTCGGGGTATATCCGAGACTGCGAGCGGGCGCGACGATCAGAGTCTCCTTCCGATCTCTCCTGGGAAGGGAGGTGGGGAAGAAGAGGTGTACACCCTGCGAAGTGCTTAAGAAATCATGGGTTAAGAAATTCATAGTCTCAGAAAGTGAATAAAACCCAGAACTTCTATCAAAATCTTGGGATTTACATTGAAAAGTTAAGAATAATCGAGACTCAGGACGAAAACTTAGGTTTTCTTAAGCATCGCCTAAGGTGTAGTGTGGAAAGGAGGCGCGCGATATGAGCGAGGGCAGGAGGGAAAGAAGGAGACGGAGAGGAGAGGAGAAAGGAACCGGTAGTGCGTCCGCGCTCGCCAGTGCGCGGCGACTCGCTGTTCTCAGGGAGGAGGGGCGGAGAAGGGAACGGGGAAATCGAGAAACAAATACTGGCATGCAACTTAACCTCGGAAGCTTAAACACGGTAACATGTCGACGCTGCCAACCACATCCAGGGATTAACGTGGTGTCCCCTGCCTGCACGCAGTACGCACCTTCGACGTAAGCCGCACAGACGGGCGTCGCCAAGAAGGTGGGCTTTACACACTCTGTTCCCAGCGCTGAAATTGACGACGCCTGCCTCAAACTCCCTCTTCTACGGCTCAGTGAGCAGCGATGGGACATGGGTCCCGCTGCCGCTGTGCGCATTTTTCCGCGCGCGCGCCGATCCCGCCGCTGCAGCTCGCGCACACACACACACACACACACACTCACACACACACACACACGCACACACGCACACACACACACACACACACACTTTGGCGTCGGCGACTAGGCAGAGTGACTGCGCTGGCGATGAATAAAGCGTTAGAAGATAAACGAACGCGAATTCGGCCACCATACAGAGAGAGGGAAAAGGAGGCGCCAGACACAAACAAACACACACACGTACACACACACACACGCGATGGCGAAGAGCAAGTAGACGTGAATGAAGAACAAAGGCAACAGCAACACGGCACCGACGGCCTTGGATTCCGTTTTCCATCTGCCGAGCTAACTGCACATGACAATCAGCAACTTGTCCGTGCCATGGCCAGGACTGTAAACCCACAACCTGTGCACTACAATCTCTGAACATAGCTTGTCGACATAAGCCAACAATCTGAAAACATAGCTAGAGCAGACAACAGCAATGAACGGAGGAAGATCGAAGCAAGCACCCTTGCTTACTCAGGATATGAGGCAAAGCGTGCTAATATCCAGGAGGGCTGTTGGAGTCACCCCACCTGGGAAGGCTGTTGGAGCGACCCCACCTGGGAAGGCTGTTGGTGCCACCCCACCTGGGAAGGCTGCCTCGCCGAAAGCCAGCCTACGTCAGAATTCGAACTTGCTTGACATATCAGCCTGTTCCGCCGCCCCTGCTCGGGCACTCTTAGCTTTTATTGTGCCACGACGTTGTAACTATGTGCGTGCAAAGACCACCTATGGCTAAGGTACCTGTCACAAACTTGAAAAGAAACACACGCACGCACACAAAGACGCACACACACACGCACACCCGCAGACACACACACACACATACACACACAGACACACGCGCGCGCACGTGCGAGTGCAGCACAGGCACGCAAACGCGAATTACGCCCGAAGCACACAGCACGATCGGCGCGCGTGCAGACACGACCTCAACTCCCCGAGCGCACGAGGGGAGCAGTCAGCTAGGCCAGCTGCCTTGCGGAGAGGTGGAGCTGCCGCGGAGCTGCCCAACTTGGACACTGCGACTGAGCTGGCCGCCGGCTGGCCGGCTGGCGGCTTGGGAGCCGTGGACTTCGACAGCGTGGCGGGCCCCTTGGCGGCCGGCAATGCCAGACCTGCCACGCGGGAGCAGGCGAGAGTGCGGCAGGGTCACGTCGTGAGGACCGCTGCCCTGGTCTCTGACGCTCGGTGGATTGTTCAGCCTTGAACAAGGGCTCCCAGCTTCGCGCTTCGCGCTGCGCGAAGCGCGAAGTGCGAATAACTTCGCGCTCTCGCGCCGCCTCCCAGGGGAGAAGAGGAGGAAGAGGAGGAATCGAAGCCGAACCGCGAAGCGCGAAGCGCGAATAACTTCGCGCCCTCGAGGGCGCCCTTGTTGAACGATGGGCGGCTTTGCGATCGCCGAATCGTTCTATGTTCTGGGCTGGCGGCGGCGTGCAAGCTTGAACGCCCGTGGCGGGGTTGCCGCCGCGTCGGCACGTCACGAACCCACCGCAGGTGCGGACCAAGGTACGGCAGGTTCGCGTCGTGTCGACCCCAGCGTTGGTTTCTGACACCGCGGGGATCGTTCAACCTTGAACGATCGGCCGTTCCCGCAACGTCCAATCGTTCAACATCGACCGATTCTGGGTCGCCGGCGGCATTCAACGTTAAACGCCGCGGGCGGGGGTCGCCGCGGGTCGACACGACGCGAACCTACCGTAGGACCCTCGACAATGCATGACGGTCAGGGCTCTGTCCAAGGTCGGGTGGCAGGATGCCAGACAGCGAGACGTGGCTCCAGACATGACCACCTACCAGACCACCCCAACCCAACCCGAAGACCCGAATTTCGGCTTGGGGGGGGTAAGGGTTCCACATGTGTCTTTTCGATGTTACCCGACCCCCCCCCACTGGAAATCGAGGGTAAATATGAGCCTTCGGGTTGGGTTGGGGTGGTTTGGTGGGTGGTGAGATAACCCTGCCTCCAAAACATGGACTTCCGCCGGCGGTTCCGCTGAAGGCGACACGCGCCGAAGGCGGGCCCCTTTCTGGAGCAAGCCCATGCGAGAATACTTGTGCAGCATCAGGTCACATCATGCGTGGACCTCGGATGCCGCAACATCTACGGTAGGGGACTTTTGCATGACGTGCCGCGGCGGCGGCCCTGGCGACACGCCTTGCAAGCGGATAGCGTGTCGCTCCGCTCCGCGGGGTGGGAGGCTCGGAAAGGATTGGGACGCTGACGCCTGTGGGCTGGGTTCTGAATAGCGTGTCGCGCCAAAGCGCGGTGTGCCAGCACCGGCGGAGCGACACGCTGACCAAGAGCTCCTGACCGTGACTTCTGCACGTTTGGGGTGGGAGCCCTTCGAAGCCCCCTCGGCCTCCCAGCAAGGAAGGAAAGAAAACAATCCCGTCTAAGAAGACCCGGGGCAGGCGGGACGCCGCAGAAGAGAACCGTGACGATCACCAGTGAGAGCCCGCGGCCCAGTGTGCAAAGTCTTCGGCGTTGCATCGTCATTATTGCGCCTCTTTCGCCGCTGTCTGCCAGCTTCCTCGGCCTCCCAGGAGGAGGAGGAGGAGGAGGAGGAGGAGGAGGAGGAGGAGGAGGAGGAGGAGGAGGAAGGAAGGAGGAGGAGGAGGAGGAGGAGGAGGAGGAGGAGGACGGGGGGCGGGGCCTCCCACGGCCTCGCGGCGACCCAGGGCCGCCCCTCGAGGGGCCAGGGCCGCCCGCCGCCCGAGGAGAGATGGGCCTGCACGCGACGAGCTCGAGAGGGCCTGCGTGGCTTCCCCGCGACTGATGGGCGTGCTTTCCACCACCACCAAAGTTGGAGGGGGGGGTCGTCCTCCTCCTCCTCCTCCTCCTCCTCCGCCTCCTCTTCGTCCTCCTCCTCGTCCTCCTCCTCCTCCTCCTCCTCCTCCTCCTCCTCCTCCCCCTCCTTCCCCCCTCCAACTTATGGTGGTGGTGGCAAACAGGCTCATCAACGACGGCAGCCTGGCTCCTCTCAAGACTGCCACAACGACTTCTGATCAAGTTGCAATGACGGTGACGACGAGGACGGCGACTACGACGATGGACGACGACGATGGCGACGACCATGTCGATGACGATGGCGATGACAGTGATAATCACGACGACGACGATGATGATGATGCTGATGATGCTAATGATGATGCTGATGATGATGATGATGATGCTGATGATGATGATGATTATGATGATGATGGTGATGATGATGATGATGGTGCTGATGGTGCTGATTGGGGATGGTGATGTTGATTATGTAGGTGACGGTGACGATGACGATGACAATGGCGACGACAATTGTGTTCTTGATAATGGCGAGGAAGATGATGATGATGACGATGATGATGATGATGTTGATGATGATGCTGATGTTGATGCCAATACTGTTGCTCATGCTGGTGATGCTGCTGACGACGATGACTATGATGATGATGGTGGTGATGATGATGATGCTGATGATGCTGCTGCTGCTGCTGATGATGATGATGATGATGATGATGATGGCGGTGACGACGATGATGACGACAAATTCCCTAAACTGACCCAGGAAGCGGGCGCCCAAGACAGGCCCCAGCCAACCTAGAATCGACGAGAAACCATTCGCTGCTCTATGCTCCGTCCATGACGATACGGGGGGGCTCAAGATGGCCTTGGGTTGTTGTGTGAGCCTCTGGATCGCTGTCTGGGCGCCCTTGACCGCTTGGAGCTACTGCTTCTTAGACGTGTACCCCTGCTGAAGCAGATACGAGTACATGGCTTGCTCGAAGGATTGCAAAAAAAGGATCGCAAAAAAAAGATTGCAAAAAAAGGTTTTTTTTTGCAATCCTTCGTTCAAAAGGGGTTTGTTTTGCAATCCAGGTTTTTTTTTTTTTGCAGACCCAAACCTTGAAAGCATGAAAGAGACCCGCCGCCACCGTGCTCCCTGCACGATGCGACGCGGTGGAGTACCTAGCGCTGGTCAGGTTGTCTTGATCTTCCAGGGGGGCGGCCCCTCCTGGTAGCGCAGTGATGCAACCCGCCCACTCCCGGGGCTTTCTGGGCGCCCCTGCCCATCCCTGAGATGCCCAAGGTAAGACCCAAGACAGTCCAGGCAACGCGACCAAGGCCGCCAGGATGGCCCAAAAGACTTCCCAACAGCGCAAGATGACCCAAGACGGCCCAATATGGCCTCAAGACGACCCCCAAGACGGCCCAAGAGGGCTTCCAAGAGAGCCCCCAGGATGGCCCGAAGATGTCCAAACCATTGTGCTCCTCATTTCTCTGACTGGTTTAACAGTTCTCGACTTTTCGGGTTTCCGACACTCCAGCACGGCTTCAGAGGCCTCCAAACTGGCCCCAGGACGGCCCAACTTTGCCACAAGACCGCCAAGTACTGCCCCAAGATGGCCCGAGATGTCTCCAAGACGGCCCCAAGATGGCCCAAAGACGGCGCTAAGACGACCCAATGGCCCCAAGAGGACCCCAAGACGGCACAGAGAAGCCCCAAAACGAACTCCGAAGGCGCCGGACGGGCAAACAGCGCTCTGAGACGGCCAAAGGAACCCCAAAGAGAGCCTCAAGACGCCCCAAGCTATCCCAAAGAGGCTTTCAAGAGGCCCCCAGGAGGCTCCAAGAAAGGAGGAATGAATCACATTGGAATAGGAAGACGACGACGACGAAAACGAAGATAGACACCCTGACGCGGCACAGACATTGCAGTATGTCTCGATGAAGGCTGAATGCAAAAAGGGCCGCCTCCTTCTTCTCCGACTCATCCCTTTCTACAACCCCCTTTTTCTGGGGACGACAATGTGTCACGTGTAACGACCATCCTCCTCCTTCTCGTCCTCCTCCTCCTCCTCACAATCTCCTCCCCCTCCTCCTCCTTCTCCTCTTCCTCCTCGTCGTCTGCTTTGTTGCAGTCTGCCTTAGCTCCACCTCCTCCTCCTGCTCCTCCAATGGCGACCTTCATCCTCTTCGTTTTCTCCGCGTTCTTCGTCCTCCTCCTCGACGTACTCCTCCTCCCCCCTCCTCCTCCTCCCCCCTTCTCCTCCTCCTCCTCCTCCTGCTCCTCCTCTTCCTCCGCCTCATATTCCTCCCTTTTCTGGGGACGGCACATGCGTCGTCGTCCTCCTCCTCGCCCTATTCTTCCTCCTCCAACTTCTGCTCATCATAACCCTTGTTGTCTTTCGGCTCCTCCTACTCCTCCAAAAAGGGCGACACGTGTCACAGGCGACGGTCTTCTCGGCGGCACTCGAGAGATCACCACGCTGAGCGCTGCGCTGCCACGGTGGCGGGACCTGCCGCAGGCAGCGCTGGGCGCCCGAGGAGGCTCCCCCATTGACCTCCTCCTGGCCGTCCCCTTCCTCCTGACCCGCGCGGACCCGCTCGGGTCATGAAGAGGGGGGCGAGCGCATCATGGCCCGAGGGGACGCTCTGAAAAAGCGGGGCGGGGCCGCGGCAGCTCAGAGACGTCCTGACCACGGCCACGAAGCTCAGAGACATCGACACGCTCAGAGACCTCTCAGAGCTCAGAAGCTCAGAGAAGCTCAGAGACATCGACACGCCCCTGGCCCTCACGCCACTCCTGGACGCCTCCGGCACGCCCAGAGCGAGTGGAAAGGGCCCCGGGAGGGGAGGGCCGCACGCCTTTCACGTGGTCGGCGGGCGAAACCATCTGCGTGGGCGGCGGCGTGCGCTGCCCCGGCGGGGCCACGACCTCCCCGCTCCCAGGGCGGCGACGGGGGGGCGGCGGGTGGCCATAGAGGGGGAGGGAGCCGCGGCGAGGACAGGTCTTGTTCCCCCGGAGCGTCCCCGCCTGCACGGCGGGAGGTGGCCGTCTCGCGTGTGCCGACGAGGTGGGGGAGGAAGAGGGATAGGGCGACGAGATCTATGCATATCCACTGCTCCTGGCCAGGCCCATCCTGGGCCCAGGAGCGGTGTACATGCCTCCCTGGCCAAGCCAGGAGGGCGTATACACGGTTCTTGGGCCCAGGATTGGCCTGGCCGGGAGCAGTGGATATGTATAGATATCGTCGCCCTAGAGGGAGGTTGGCGCATCATGGCCCGAGGCATGTGCGAGGACGAGGGGGGGGGGCCACGGAGCGCACTGAAATGATACGCAGCACCCCGCAAGTGCGGACAAGAGTGAGGGGGCGGGCGCGGGCGACGCGGGCATCGAGCCGGGGCGGACCTCGTGGCCTTCACGAATGCACAAGAAGCCTGGAACGAATGCAAAAGAAGCCCGCCGCAGGCACCGAAAATTTTGGGTGGGTCGCAGGTGGGTCGCGGTGGGTCGCGGGTGGGTCGCGGGTTGCTCGCGAGTGGGTCGCGGGGTGGGTCGCGGGTGGGTCTCGGGATGGGTCGCCAGTGGGTCGCGCGTGGGTCGCCGATGCAAAAGAAATCCGCCGCAGGCGCCGAAGTTTTGGCTTGTTCAATGAACGTAGTTTGGGTCGCGGGTGGGTCGCGGGCTCCCCACCTCCACCTGGAAGGAATTCAGAAACAGCCCGCCGCAAGCGCCAAACATTCTGATTGAAGGTCGCAGGTTCTCCACCTGGAACAACCTGGAACGAATGCATAAGAAACGCGCCGCAGGCGCCGAAAATATTGGGTGGGTCGCGGATGGGTCGCGGGTGGGTCGCGGGTGGGTCGCGGTGGGTCGCGGGTGGGTCGCGGGTGGGTCGCGGGGTGGGTCGCGGGTGGGTCGCTGGTGGGTCGCGGGTGGATCGCCAGGGGGGTCTCGGGGTGGGTCGCGGGTGGGTCGCGGGTGGGTCGCGGGTGGGTCGCGGGTGGGTCGCGGGTGGGTCGCGGAGTGGGTCGCGGGTGGGTCGCGGGGTGGGTCGCGGGTGGGTCGCGGGTGGGTCCCGGGGTGGGTCGCGGGCTGGTCGCGGGGCAGGTCGCGGGTGGGACGACGATAACAAACAACAACAACAACCACAACCACAACAACAACAACAACAACAACACCAACAACAACAACAACACCACCACCACCAACAACAACAACAACAACAGCAGCAGCAGCAACAACAACAACAACACCAACAACAACAACAACACCAACAACAAACAACACATCAATTACAACAAACACAAAAACAACAACAGCAACAGCAACAACAACAACAACAACAGCAACAGCAACAGCAACAGCAACAACAACCATTTTAAGACTGTTCGCCCTTATATGCTCGAGTGTCCAATAACGCGTATTTCCCAAACCCTCGATACCCGCCCTCTTCGTCTTCGATCGAACGCCTTTTGGGGGGTATACCTTTCTTCCCTGCAGGCCGGGCCCCGGCAAGCGGCGGGGCGGCCGCGGACCGTCGGCCTGGCCAGCGGCAGCGCTGATCGGCGGGGCGGACGCGGACCATCGACCCGACCCCAAGAGGGACGAGCAGGGGACTGACCACGACGACGACGACGACGACGACGACGACGACGACGACGACGACGTTGAAGACGACGGCGACGACGACGACGACGGCGACGACGAGCGAAAGCGAGAGCGAGAGAGAACGACAGCAGGGCCACGAAGGGCACGAAGTAGGCCACGAAGGGCGACAGCGGGGACACGAAGGGAATGCGTATGGGGCCACGAAGAGCGCGAACGAGCGGGGGCCACGAAGTGCAGATAATGCGGGGCCACAGAAGGCAACTATGGGGCCACTGAGGGTAGCAACTGGGCCACGTAGGACAGTGAGGGGGACACAAATGGCGACAGCGGGGCCACGAAGGGCATGCACATGGGGCCACAACGGGCGCGACTCCTGGGTGCCTGGGTGTCGGGAGCGCGGCGCTTGGGCAAAGTGCAGGAAATTCCAACGCAAGGCCATTCTTCAGTAAGTTGCAAGCAAGTCTCCAGCGAGAGCGCGACTCCAGAGCGCCGGGAGAGCGATTCCTGAATAAATTGTAAGGAAGTCCAAAGCGAGAGCGCGATTCCTAAATAAAAAATGCGAGGAAGTCTCGGGCGGGAGCGGGGGTCCTGGCTAAATTGCAAGGAAGTCTCAAGCGGGAGCCGTTGTTGTTGTAACGGGGGGGCCAGGGGCCCAGTTTGAGCAGGAAGACTTTCCCTGTCAAAAAAAACAGGGTGCGAGCGTCGAGAGGCACACTTTGATTGAGAAAAAACAGTATGCACAAGTGGGGGGGGATCAACAATAATTATTAAATCAGAAATCAGAAAACAACAACAACAGCAGCAGCAACAACATCAACAAGAACCCGCATCGCGGAATTCCACTTCAGCCACGCAGCCAGGGACAGTGACTGACAATTCGGTTCAGCCCCCTCACTCTGACGTAGCACCCGACAGATGCGGATGAGAGTGAGGGGGCGGTGGGTACGTCGGCAGTCTGCGAGACTCTGGAGAAGCCCGCCGCAGGCACCGATTTTTTCGCTAAACCATGTGGGTAGGTCGCGGGTGGGTCGCGGGTGGGTCGAAAATGGGTTGCGGGTGGGTCGCCGTTGGGTCGCGGGTGAGTCGCGGTGTGGGTCGCGGGTGGGTCGCGGGGTGGGTCGCGGGTTGGGTCGTGAGTTACACGGGTGGGTCGCGGTGTGGGTCGCAAGGTGGTTCGCGGGGTGGGTCGCGGGGTGGATTACGGGTGGGTCGCGGGGTGGGTCGCGGCGTGGGTCGCGGGGTGGGTCGCGGGGTGGGTGGCGGGGTGTGTCGCGGGTGGGTCGCGGGTGGGACGACGACAACCAACAAGCAACAACAACGCAATTACGCAACAACAGAATCCTCACCACGGATTCCCACTTCAGCCATTCACCCAAAGACAATGAATGACTGTTCGGCCCCGTCACTCTGACAACGAGCCCGCCGCATGCGCCGATTTTGTCGTTAAACCAATGTGGGTAGGTCGCGGGTGGGTCGCGGGGTGGGTCGCGGGTTGGGTTACGGGTGGGTCGCTGTTGGGTCGCGGGGGTCGCGGGCGGGGGTCGCGGGTAGGTCGCGGGGTGGGTCGCGGGGTGGGTCGCGAGGTGGGTCGCGGGGTGGGTCGCGGGGTGGGCCGACGACACCAAACAACATCAACGCAATTGCGCAACAAGCAGAATCCTCATCACGGATCCCCACTTCAGCCATTCACCCAAAGACAATGAATGACTGTTCGGCCCCTTCACTCTGACAACGAGCCCGCCGCAGGCGCCGCTATTTTCGTTAAACCAATGTGGGTAGGTCGCGGGTGGGTCGCGGGGTGGGTCGCGGGTTGGGTTGCGGATGGGTCGCGGGTCGGTCGTGGTTGAGTCGCTGTTGGTTCGCGGGGTGGGTCGCGGGGGTCGCGGGTTGGGTCGCGGGTGGGTCGCGGGGTGGGTCGCGGGGTGGGTCGCGGGGTGGGTCGTGGGGTGGGTCGGGGGGTGGGTCGCGGATTGGGTCGCGGTGTGGGTCGCGGGTTGGGTCGCGGGTGGGTCGCGGGGTGGGTCGCGGGGTGGGTCGCGGGGTGGGTCGCGGGGTGGGTCTCGGGGTGAGTCCTTCTCGCCGAGGAAGATGTTTCCCGCAGTCTTTCGCGTAAGAGTTTTGAAGCTGAAATGGTGAGAACCCCACCGCCGTCGCACACGTTCGTGACTTGCGAAAACTGAAATGGTGAGAACCCCATTGCCATGCCACACGGTTTCGATGATGCTGCTACTCAACATAAGAAGATGGCAACTTCGGTTCGTAACTACCCCCACGATGATATAGTTCGGCCTTGCCGCCTCTCCCCCGACGAAGTGAAGGGGGATATGATTTACGTAGCAAGCCGCAGATGCGGATAATAGTGAGGGGGCGGGGGGGGCGTCGGCAGCCTGCGAGACTCTGGAGAAGGCTGCCGCAGACGCCAAAATTACCTAACAGCGAAGACTGAAAGGTTTCTAACGGTCTGAAAAGAAAGCATCATGACTCCCCAGGGGGGTCCGGGCAGGATCCGGGGAGAATCCGCGGATCCGCCAGTGACTATAGGGAACGCACCACTGAGGCTGAGGCTGAGGCCCCCAGCGCCGCCAGTGACTATGGGGAATGCACCACTGAGGCTGAGGCTGAGGCCCCCAGCGCCGCCAGTAACTATGGGGAACGCACCACTGAGGCTGAGGCTGAGGCCCCCAGCGCCGCCAGTGACTATGGGGAATGCACCACTGAGGCTGAGGCTGAGACCCCCAGCGCCGCCAGTGACTATGGGGAACGCACCACTGAGGCTGAGGCTGAGGCCCCCAGCGCCGCCAGTGACTATGGGGAATCCACAGCTGAGGCTTATGTATGTAATATTTTACCTAACAGCGAAGACTGATAGGTGTCTAATAATTTCAAGAGACAGCATCATGACTCCCCAGGGTAGGTCGCGGGTGGGTCGCGGGTTTGGTCGCGGGTCGGTCGTGGGTGGGTCGCTGTTGGGTCGCGGGTGTGTCTCGGGAAGGTCGCGGGTGGGTCGCGGGGTGGATCGCGGGTGGGTCGCGGGATGGGTCGCGGGGTGGGCCGCGGGTGGGTCGCGGGGTGGGTGGCGGGGTGGCTCGCGGGCTTGGTCGCGGGTGGGGTGTGGGTTGGGTCGCGGGTGGGTCGCGGGGTGGGTCGCGGGGTGGGTCGCGGGGTGGGTCCTTCTCGTCGAGAAAAATGCGTCCCGCAGTCTTTCACGTGAGAGTCCTGAAGCTGGAATTGTGAGAATCCCATCGCCGTCGCACACGTTCGTGACTTGCGAAAACTGAAACGGTGAGAATCTCATTACCATGCCACACGTGTTCGATTAAGTTGCTACTCAACATAAGAAGATGGCAACTTCGGTTCGTAACTTTCCCCCGCGATAGTACAGTTCGGCCTTGCCGCCCCTCTCCCCCGACGAAGTGAAGAGGGATATGATTTGCGTAGCAAGCCGCAGATGCGGATAATAGTGAGGGGGCGGGGGGGGCGTTGGCAGTCTGCGAGACTCTGGAGAAGGCCGCCGCAGGCGCCAACGTTTCACAAATGATACAACGAGCCCGCGGAAGGCGCCGATTTCTTCGTTGAACCAATGTGGGTAGGTCGCGGGGTGGGTCGCAAATTAGTCGCGGCGGGGTCGCGGGTGGGTCGCTGGTAGGTCGCGGGTGGGTCGCGGGTAGGTCGCAAGGTGGGTCGCGGGTGGGTCGCAAGTGGGTCGCGAATTACGCGGGTGGGTCGCGGCGTGGGTCGCGGTATGGATCGCGGGGTGGGTCGCAGGGTGGGTCGGGTGGGTCGGGTGGGTCGCGGGTGGGTGGGTTGGGTCGCGGGTGGGTCGGTGGGTCGCGGGTGGGTCGCGATTCGCGGGGTGGGTCGCGGGGGTCGCGGGTGGGTCGCGGTGGGTCGCGGGGTGGGTCGCGGGTGGGTCGCGGGAGGGTCGCGGGGTGGGTCGCGGGTGGGTGGGTCGTCGGGGTGAGTCGCAAGTGGGTCGCGAGTTACGCGGGTGGGTCGCGGTGTGGGTCGCGCGGTGGATCGCGGTATGGATCGCGGGGTGGGTCGCAGGGTGGCTCGCGGATGGATCGCGGGGTGGGTCGCGGGGTGGGTCGCGGGTTGGGTCGCGGGTGGGTCGCGGGTGGTCGCGGGGTGGGTCGCGGGTTGGGTCGCGGGGTGGGTCGCGGGTGGGGTCGCGGGTGGGATAACGACAACAAACAAATAACAACACCGCAACAACGCAACAAGCAGAATCCTCACCACGGATCCCCACTTCAGCTACGCACCCAGGGACAATGAATAACCGTGCGGCCCCCTCACTCTGACAACGAGCCCGCCGCAGGCGCCGATAAAATCGTTAGACCAATTTGGGTAGGTCGCGGGTGGGTCGCGGGTTGGGTCGCGGGTCGGTCGCGGGTGGGTCGCGGGTGGGTCGCTGTTTGGTCGCGGGTGAGTCTCGGGAAGGTCGCGGGTGGGTCGCGGGGTGGGTCGCGGGTTGGGTCGCGGGGTGGTTCGCGGGGTGGGTCGCGGGTTCGGTCACGGGGTGGCTCGCGGGTGGGTCGCAAATGGGTCGCGGGTGAGTCGCAAATGGGTCGCGGGTGGGTCGGGGTGGGTCGCGGGTTCGGTCGCGGGGTGGGTCGCGGGGTGGGTCGCGGGTTCGGTCGCGGGATGGGTCTTGGGGTGGGTCGCGGGCTGGGTCGCGGGCGCGGGTTGGGTCGTGGGTGGGACGACGACGCCAAACATCAACAACATCAACAACAACAACGTCAACAATTACAGCAGCAACAACAACAACGCAACAAGCAGAATCCTCACTCCGGATCCCCACTTCAGCCACGCACCCAGGGACAATGAATGACCGTTCGGCCCCCTCACTCTGATTATCCAGGGCTCGCGGGTAAGCAAGCACCACGGCCTCCGCCGCCCCCTCGTTCCCTCCCGTGAGTCCCTCCTGTTGCTGCCCCTCCTGCTACACCATCCGTCCCCCTCAACTGCTGCTGCTGCTCCTGCTCCTCTGGCAGGAAGAGCGCGGCCCCTGAGGGAAACGGGCCCTGGACCCCTGGGGCGTTCTCCGAGGGCCAACGTTTCGGCCCGAGCCCCTCTCTCACTGACCAGGAAGGCCCGGGAAGAGGGCTGTGGGAGCCCGAAATCGGCCAAAAGACCTCGGGACCCGTTGCTCTCAGGATCCGCCTGCTTCGCGGCGGCTCCTCCGGCTGCCGCTGCTGCCCCATCTCCTCCTCCCCCTCCGGCCGCTCGTCCGTGCGCCAGCTCTCCCCCGGGCCCCGCTCGCCCGATGCCCCGAGGCTGCTCGAATAGGAAAGGCGCGCGGGCGCGACGTGCCCTTTCCACGCGGCTGCCCTGGCGGCCTCCACCAGCAGTCACCAGGAGGCCGCTCCTCTGAGAACATGTCCCCCGCGTGACGCTCGTCCGAAAATCGCTTCGGAGCGATACCTCGTCTTCAGGGCAAGGGCCGAGGACGAGGACGACGGCGGCGGCGATGGCGGTGATCTCCGCTCGCGCTGCTTCTCGGACTGCGACGCTGCGCCGTCCCAATCGGAGACGAAGGCAGGACGAGGACAACTCGAGGTGAGGACGAAGCGGGAAGCTCTTAGAACCACCGGGTCTGGAGGAGGCATCGGGCGCCGCTCTGCTGAGGGCTTCTGATCTCGCTGCTCCTGGGCCTGCCTGAGAGCCCCAGTCGGGGCGGACGAAAAAGAGGGGGGGGGATAGCAACGGAGGGGGAGAGCGACTCAGCTCACGCCTCTGGCGCTGGGAGGCGCTACCGACTCGAGGAAGGCGCCTGGCGGCGCGGCCGAGACCAGGCGTGCGCGCCAGATTCAGGAGCACCCCTTCCACAATCCCCCGCCCCCCCCTCCCCCCTCGTCTGACAAGACACTGGGACGGGAATGATGCCATGAGAGGGCTGGCTCAGGATGCGTCTCAGGCATTCCAGAGTGTCCAGCGGCCGCGCTTCCTGCAGCCCCTGTGGAACATCAGGGACAGTGGGACATCCTGGAGTTCGTGGAACGCATCACTAGCATGACCCCTTGAGGGCGACGAAATCTAAGCATATCCACTGCTCCCTGGCCAGGCCAATCCTGAACCCAGCAGCAGTGTATACGCCACGCCCTCCTGGCTTGGCCAGGAGGGCGTGTACACAGCTCCTGGGTTCAGGATGGGCCTGGCCGGGGAGCAGTGGATGTGAAATATTAGACTAGACTCCGTCGCCCGTCACCAAGCTCCTCTGAGACCCACCCCTTCCCACTTTTGGCTCGCTGGAACTCTCGTCCACCGCCGCCACCGCCGGGCCCCGCGCCACGGGCGCTGGCGCCGCGTCCTGCGGGCCGGCCCCGCTCCAACGCTCCGCCGCTTCGGCCTCGTCCTGGGTCGGTTGGGCACCGAGACTTAGCGGTGAAACCAATCCCACCAGCCCTTTCGGGCGTGAGTGTTTGTTTTTTCTTCCAAACCCCGTTCTTCCCCTTTGGGGAAGGGTTTACCACTGTTCCCTGTCAGTAAGCACCCCCTCCCCAAGGCGACCGGCAGCCGGCCAAGACCAATGAGGACTCCCCCCACCAGCCCCATCAACAAAACAATGTGAAGTCCACTTAGGGGCAACATCTTGGGTCATAATCGGGAGGGGCCGCGGTCAAATCCTCCACGTCCCTAAAAATATGGGATCAAAATCCTACAACAACCTCTGCAGTTGTGGCTATTCAGTCGCTGACCTGCTCTACAAAATATCGACTCAAGCATCCTCGGTACTAGACAAGACCAGGTCTAGTACAAAGCTTGACGAAATGTGTCGGGGAGGGCCCTCATCTTGCCAAGGATGATGCACAGCAGAGGGGGGCGTCTAGTACCAAGGAGGCTTGACTAAGCAGCTTGGCGAAGGGCCGTGTGTGTTGGACGCGTGTGCACTGTATGATTGACCTGCTCTTTCTGCTACGACTCAATCAGCAACTGCTGCTTCTGAAACATGCGTTCGACATCAACGTGTTGCTCCGCATCTCGGCGAAAAGCGTCCTGTGGCAGCCTTGCTCTGCACTCCTCTCTCGGTTCTGATGGCATAGAAACTTTGAATGTGACTCCATGTTCAAAGTCCTCCCGGTAATGGCTCCTGTACCACTGTGGCAAAACATCATCTGCAGTATGTTTAACCATGCTTGTTGTTAGGTGCTAGCCCTCTTGAGCCCAAGTGGCTTTTGACAGACAAAAAACACATCGGAAGTCCTACAAGCGTGAATTGGGATACCCTGCTGTAGCATTACCTGGCACGTGTTGCTTCCGCAAGGCCCGTTGCCCAATCGCAACTGTCCAAAGCCCTTTTGCAATGGCCTTGGCCATCTTCCGCAAGGGCCGTTATCCATTCGCCTTGGCCATCTTTTCAAAATGCAATTTAGACTTGATATGCCGGCTTCCGTTTACCATCGGCCGGCTTCCGCAGGCCGTCCGCCGCACTTCGCCTGGAGAGAAGGGGTAAGAGAAGTGAGAGGAGGGGCAGTAAGCGGCACAGAAAGAATACGCATTCGAATGCGACTTGTGACATGTGAAGACAATACAAAATTACACCAAGCGACAAGAGGAGGTGATACAACCCGAGAACAGGAGGAGGACCACCAGCAACAGCAGCATTGGAGGATGAAGGGGGGGGATTCGGATAACAAACAACGATGGAGAGAAAGAAAATACTTCAATCCGACCTCCCCACAACGGAGGCATCGGAGCGACCCCTGAGAATGAGGGGGAGCATGAGATGAGGAGGAGGGTGAAGGGGAGGAAGAGGACGAGGAGGAGTGAGGAGGAGGGGGGAGAGGAGGCGGGAGATGAGAAGGAGCAGGAGAAAGAGGAACAGGGGGGGAGGAGGAAGAGGAGGAGGAGGACCACGAGGAGAAGGAAGGAGGAGGCTCCTCCTCAACATTTGCCGTCTCCCCCCCTCAACATCCTCGCCCACCTCCTCCTCCTCCTCCTCAACATCCCCCGGCTCCCAAACCTCACCGGGCGCAGGGTTCGCCAAATAGGATTACCCCCAGCTACCAAAGGTGCACGAGCAACCCAGGGAAGGACAACTCTCCTATCTCAGTATCCTTCCTTTCCTGCCCCTTCTCTTCCCAGTCCTCCGAATCCTCATCCTCAGCACCTTCATCCTCTTCCTCCTCATCCTTGTCATCGCTGATGGTACCGCTCCCAGTGTCCTCCTATCTAGTCCTCCTCCTCCGGGTCCAAGCTTGTGATTTCGCCCTCGTCCCCATTTGCATCCTCGACCGACCCCCCATCCCAGATCTGTCTCCTCACTATCTCGTCCTCCTCCTCCTCCAACTCCTCCTTCTCCTCCTCCTCCTCCTCCTCCTCCTCCGCCTCCTCCTCCTCCTCCGCCTCCACGCCTCCCTCTCCTCTTGCTGCCCCTCAGCGTCCATCTCATCATCGGCCACCTGCGCAGCGCTGCGCCTACTCCTACGATCGCTTCCGCCTGCACTCCTCCTCCCCCCTCCCTTCCCCGCCTCCCCCCCTCTGGCCTCTGCTCCCGCCGCGCGTCTTGCCGAACGTCCTCCTCTCCACTCGGGCGGGAAGGGCGCTCCTCGGCCGCGGGCAGCGGTGTGCCGCGGACAGATCCTGCGGGCCCCACGGTGTCCTCGTCCTTCGGAGCGCGTAGCTTCGACTGCGCCTGCTCCGAGGCCGCGAGGCCGGGCGGAGGGAGGGGCGAGCGGGGGCGGAGAAAGGGGGACAGGGGCAGGGTAAACGGGGAGAGGGAGGCGGGAGGGGAAAGGAGGGGGGAGCAGGAGGGAGAGTGACCTGACGCACTGGGCCATTCGGACCGCAAAAACGCCGGGCCAGCGCCGCCTGCCAGCGGTCCGGCACATTGCTGCCGTCCTGCCCCCGTGGCGCCGAGATGGAGGCAGCAAGGCGCGGAAGCACGCGGGCGCACCGGACCAACCCTGGGACGCACTTCCACGCAGTCGGGCGCCCCGTGGAATCCATGAGACGGGGAAACCAACAATGCCGCTCTGCTCTTCGTCGAAGTCCTGGGCCTCCACGGCGGCATGCACGGCCTCGGCGTCGGCGTCCTCCAGGACGGCGTCCTTCCAGAACTCGTACAGCACGACGTCCTCGTGGCTCTCGTCCTGCTCGCAGAAGTCGTCGACGTCGTCTCGCTGCGAACGCCTCTGCCCGTCTTGGGCCTCTTCGAGTGTCTCCTCTGGGTACTATGCGCCGAACGTCTATCTTCATCAATGCATTCTTGGTGTACCCCAGATCTTCTCGACCCTGTGGAATGGACATCAGAATGATCATGCTCAAATCGCTTAGCGGACTTCCCGCCTTCAACAGCTCGATTTGGACCCTGTCGGGCAGGCCCAATCCATACTTCCTGGCTTTTCTAACCTCCATGTCTCTGCGCAGCACGTATTGAATCAGAGTCTCGCCGCTCTTGCTCTCCGTATGTTCAAAAGCGAGGTTGAAAACCCTGTTCGCCTTGTCGCCATCGTGGTCTCCACGACGTTGCTTGCGATACTAGATCAGCGCCTCGAGACCTCCAGGGGAGTTCAGTCCATCCTGGACGTGCATCATCCTCTCCTGGGGCTCCACTCGAGACTCGTCTATCACACGTCCTGCTTGAGCATCCGCGGCCAGGCTGGACCTCTTCGGCGACCTTCGCATGCTCGGGCTCCACGTGTCGAGGCGGTCGAAGCCCTGCCACGCCTGAGGCCCCTGGTTGTCACCGCGCGGCGATGTTGCTGGCGGCGCCACGGCAGCTGGGGAGGAGGAGGAGGAGGAGGAGGAGGAGGAAAGGGAGGAGGGGGAGGAGGAGGAGGAGGAGGAGGAGGAGGAGGAGGAGGAGGAGGAGGAGGAAAGGGAGGAGGGGGAGGAGGAGGAGGAGGAGGGAGGAGGAGGAGGAGGAGGAGGGGAGGAGGAGGAGGAGGAGAGGAGGAGGAGGAGGAGGAGGAGAGGAGGAGGAGGGAGGAGGAGGAGGAGGAGGAGGAGGAGGGAGGAGGAGGAGGAGGAGGAGGAGAGGAGGGCCTCCCACTCGGTGCAGTGGAGCAGCCCCCGGGCCTCGGCCGCCGGCTCCTCGCCTCGGCGGCGCTCCAGCACGCCACCGTGGCTGTGGAGGCGTCTCTGGAGCAGGTCTTGCCCACGCTCTATGGGCTCGTCGCGCCCCGGGCCACGCTCCTCCTCCTCCTCCTCCTCCTCCTCCTCCTCCTCCTCCTCCTCCTCCTCCTCCTCCTCCTCCTCCTCCTCCTCCTCCTCCTCCTCCCCCTCCTCCTCCTCCCCCTCCTCCTCCCCCCTCCAGGAGGAGGAGGAGGAGGAGGAGGAGGAGGAGGAGGGGGGGGGAGCAAGTCTTGCCCACGCTCTGGGAGTAGCTGCTCGCCGTGCCTCCGCCCCCAGGGCCACTCCATCCCCAAGGGTTCAGCCACTGGTGCCAGCTGCTCCAGCCCCACGACCACCAGCGGGAGTCCTGGCAGCTCCCCGGGATATCTTCCAACCCTCGGACTGTATTGCCTCGCTTCTCGATGGTCTCCTGCTGTGTTGTGTTGGACGGGTCAGCTGTGCTGCCGGCGGCGGCGCCAGCTCCAGCTCATGTGATCCCTCGGGTTCCTCCGGTCGGCATTCGACATTCCTCAACCGTGGCGCTCCGCTTAGCACTGTCCGCTGATAACATCCTAGCACGGGAACTCTTGGGAGACCAAAAGGGGCCTGAGGGGGACTAGGAGAGAGTGCCTCGACTCCCTTGTCGAACGCGCAGTTGAACCAACATGTAGCACAGTGCAACATAGCATAATCAGTGCAAGGCACTCAGATGATGAGGTGTCATGCCAAAGTGCAACATATTCAAGATGCCAAGTGCGCGTTGTTCGGGACATGCGTGTCAAACAAATTTATCAGATGGCCCTGGTGACCGTCCTGGAGCCCTCTTGGGCGCCCGTTGCGCCGTCCTTGAGGCTCTGGACGGCTGCCGAAAGAGCCAAAATCGTCAAAACCAGTGGGTTGTTGTATGAGTTTCGCATTACCGCCTTTTCGGACTTCAGCGCGTCCAAAGCGGCCCAAGAGACGCCGAAGATCGCCCCAGAACGGCCCAAGAGCCACCAACACGGGTCCAAGTTGGGGAGCACTAACTGACATTTTGAGTCCGCCGCCCCAGCATGGCCCCAAGATTCCCCCACAGGCCCCCGAGGTGCGCCCAAGAGGCACCAAGAGATCCCCACAGGCATCCAGGAAGCCTCTGACCTAGAATGCAGGCGCGGTGGCAGGATGGGCCGAAGGCTGCTGTGTCTTGATGTATTGTTTCTCTCTCTCTCTCTTTCTCTCTCTCTCTCTCTATGAATGTTTGTTCGTGTAAGTTACGACGTTCACCCACCTTGCATTGCTGCACAATGGGCGTGACGGCTATAAGGTGCAAGGCATGTAGTGTAAGCTATGCGATGCAAGCGGTGTGCTGTGAGTCATGGGATGTAGGTGCAAGCGATGCGATGCAAACTATATGGAAATGCTGTGTCAGTTATGAGTGCAGGCTATGTAGTATGAGCTATACGATGCGAACTGTGTGGTGTAAGTGATGACGTGTAGGTGTAAGCTATGCGACGTACGTGATGCTGCGGAAGCTATGCCGTACAAGCTAGGCGGTACAGTATACACAGATGCAGATAGGCACACAGAGCTTACCTGTGCAAGCTGTGCCATATAAGCTATGCGGTGTATCTGTGTGGTGCTAGTTATGCGGTGCAAGCTATGTGGTATAAGCTATGTGGTGCAAGTTATGCGGCAGCCGAGCGCACAAGGCGCCCACAAGCACGCATCAGGCGAAATCTCGGCTGACCCACCCAGCGCACAAGGCACCGACAAGGCACCTATGGGCAAATACCAGCGGACACAAGGCAAAACCTCGGCTGAACTACCCAGCGCACAGGGGGCACCAGGCAAAACCTCGGCTGACCCATCCGATTCCTGAAGGAACCCAAGTAAGAAGACCTAGCTGCACGCATTGGAGTGGCTGGTGAATTTAAGTAAGGATGTAGCCCTTGGACGTCAAAGTTGCAGCAGTTGCTGCGGAGGCGGCGGCGGCGGCCCAAAGCACAGGTCCCAACAAACGAGGATACGAGGGAAGCGTTGATGAAGTACTACACGGATCCTCCCAACAGTGCTTGACTTTACGCTCCCCCCTGGCGCAGGTAAGCGCGGAGAACGATGACGAGGAACAGAAGCAGGACGAAATACGACGGGAGCAGTGCCATGAGCAGCAGGGGCAGCGGGAGCAGCATCAGGTTCAATATCAACAGCAACCCAGATGAAGAGGGCGGTGGGGAAGAAGCGGGCAGCGAAGGCAGAGCGGAAGAAGAAGAAGAAGAAGCATGGGCGTGCGAAGGAGAAAGCGCCTGGATTTGGGGCTTCTCGGGAGGCAGCGCCTCGCCCTGCCGCTGTCCCCCCTCCCACGTCCCTCCCTCTCCCAGGGCCCCGACCCTTGGCAGCGGCCTCCTCTCTCTGGGCGTCTGCCGCCTCTTTCGCTTTCTCCAGGGCTCGCCGGGCGGCCTCCTGCTTGGCCTTCACGGAGTCCAGGGCGGCCTGCTCGGCCGGAGCCGCTGCGGCGCCAGGGGTGCCGGGCTGGAGGGGATCCACCCCAGCCGCGGGGTGCCCGATCCCTGAAGGTCTTCGACCTGCCAGACAGGAGGCTCGTAGGGCTGTGCGCAGGCCTATTGGTAGCCTGTGCGTTGCCCAGTTCGTAGGGCTAGGCCTGCAACTGACCCCATGTCAGACTGAGGGCGGGCAATCGGTAGGCCCACAGACAGCCTGTCGGGAGCACTCATAGCCGTAGAGCTGAGAAGAGCCTTTGCCCTAGGCTACGGACATCACACCTGGAACCCGTGCGTGAGGGAGTTCACACGTCACGTCGGGCTTGGCATTCGGGATGCATGCGCGTCGTAGATCGCGTTCGATGCGCATGGGAACCGATGAATCAAAAAACGGTCGGGCACACTTCAGCTGGCAAGCTTGTCTCTGCAAAAACAACGTGGGAGCCAACCTCGCGCTAAATGCGTGGGAAGTGACATCTCATACTGCTCGATCTCCTTGTTTTTGCCCACTGTGCCTGCCCAAACACAGAGTCGAGGGCAACCATTCACCTCTTCACCTCCCCAGGGCCCCCCCCCAACAACATCGCAACACGTAGACCAGACGGCCGCAACTACGAGCCAGGAGAGACCCCCCCCCCGCGGGCCTCTCTGCCCAGGGACCCCTGCTAAATAAACACAATAGGACCATTGGTGGAAGTGTCTTTTCCTTTCCTTGCTTGCGTGGGGAGGACAAATCTGGCCTCGAACCCGACCCCGAGTGCCGAGTGCAGCCGCCTCTGGGCCACCTTTGGTTGCCTCTTGTGGCCCTATGTGTGGGGGCGGGGGCGTGGGCGGGTGATCCTATCACGAGCCATCCAGTGTGTCCCCCTGCCCGTGCGTTTGCATGTCACGGCTATCCCCTGCCTTGCCACCTGCACGGCAGGGGCCGGACACGGCGAGCGCCATGCGCGGTGCGGAGTGGAGATGGGGCGAGAGAGCAATCCTGCTGGAGCGCCGAGGATGATCAGGTGCAATCATGTAAGGACTTGGCATCTCCCCCCTGCAAGAATTGTCGCTGTTGCTTCCAGTGCACGGGACGGAGTGGACGGGACCGGCCGAGTCGCTCGAGCTGCGTCTGCCTCCGCACCTCCTCGCACTCCACCTCCTGCTTTCTACGCTCTTCCTCCTCCCCCTGTCCCTCCTCCACCGCCTCTTCCTCGTCCTCCTCGTATCCACTGCCCCCCCGAAAACCTTCGACGCCCTTCGACGCCAACCCCTTGGACTTCCATGCTCGGGCGGACTGCGGAGGCCTCGTGCGGAGAGGCCCGAGGAACGGACAGACAAGACTGGCCAAGTGTTGGCCGACCCGGCGAGGATGCGAGGGCAGCCTCAGTACGGATTCGGGCTGCGCACGGAGAGCCCCCCAGGTAGTAGGCAGTCCCTGCTGGCCAAAACAGGCCCGCTGAGCATTCTGGGGCGGTCTTGACACTTCAAAGACGCCGCCGGAGACGGCGCCAAGGTGTTGAGACCGCCCCAGGCTTCTCTGGGGACCCGTTGAGGCCAGCCGGGACAGCCTTGGGGGGGGGGCCCGTTGCGCAACTCGCCACGGCACCCTCCGCTTCAGGTCCCCCCTTCTCGTGCGTCGCGCTGCGCGAAACGCGAGGCGCGGTGGTCTCTGCGCGCTCCCGTGCCGGCCCGGAGGAGGAGGAGGAGGAGGAGGAGGAGGAGGAGGAGGAGGAGGAGGAGGAGGAGGAGGAGAAGGAAGATGGAGGAGGAGGAGGTGGAGGAGGAGGAGGAGGAGGGAGGAGGAGGAGTACGAGGAGGAGGACGGGTCACCTAAGCCATTCGGAGAAATCCTCCAGCCTCCCCGTGCGAGAAGGGCAGCTCTTGGGCCGAGGCCGCGGCGCGCGAGGCGCGACAGTCGCCCGCGGCCCCTGCGGGCGCGCATCAGTTTTTCTGCTGCGACTGACTGCGACCCTCGGGCTCGCCGACGAGGTGGGGCCAGGATTGGAGAGGGGGGTTATAGTGCCTCATGGCCTGAGGAACGTGCACGGACGAGGGGGGCAGGGGCCAAGGGCCCCATGAAAAAAAGAAACATAAGAAGAAGGAGACGAAAACGAGGAAGAAAAAAAGAATAATGAGAAGAACAAGAGGACGAGGAAGAGGCATACTACGCATAGTAGTAACGATCTTCATCAGCATAATGCAAACATTGTATCAACAAACCATTACTAATAGCACGAACAATGTTAATCCGAAACATAAAACAAACAACATAAGACGACGAACCGTAGCAGTAATAGTAATCGCTGTATGGGCATGAGCCCATGCAATCTGGGATAGCCCGTGGCTGAAAGCCACGATGTCCACACACACACACCCATACCCTGGCTCTCACCCACCTGCTGGGCGCCCCCGCATCTCTAAAGGAACAGAGAACAGTAGGTATGACCAGACTGTCCGCAGTCCGCGCGGTCTCCTCGGATCAGTGCTGGGCCCCTCTCAGTGGCGCGTGGAGCGCGCCGGGGGCTGCGCTGGAGGCGCCGCCAGAGGGCCCACCCCCGATCCGAGAGATCCGCGCGGGGAGCTCAGGCAGCTCATGCTTAATGCCGCCGACGGTTCCTCGAAAGATGCCACCTCGGACGCCCACGGGGACGGTTTTGAATCCTGAATCTTCTTGTCGGTCCTGGGGCCCGGCGAGGGCCCCCAGAGGCCGAAAACCACCAAAACCTCCTGTCGTGATTTTTGTTTCTCGACGCGAGCATGTCTGTATTAGGCGCCGCCGACTCCCACCTCGGACACCCTCTCTGGTCCCCTCCGCGCCAGCCGCCGTCATCGGAGGTCCAGGAGGAGTGGGAGGACGAGGAGTGGGAGGGCGAGGACGACGAGCAGCAACACGACGACGGAAAGTTCTGGAGGTCCGGGCTGATTTCTCGGATCGCCGCTGGACCCGATCCGAAGCGCGCCGGGGGGCTCCGACGCCGATGCGAGAAACCCGCGCAAACCTCCGAATGTTTGCGCTGATGTCATGCTCTGTGTCCCCCGAATGCAAAAGGAGAAAAGGAGGCACCGCGGGAGAGGGAGGCACCGGAGGAGCGGGAGAGGCACCGGAGGAGGCACGGGAAGGAGGAGGAGGAGGAGGAGGAGGAGGAGGAGGAGGAGGCACTCCGGAGGAGAGGGAGGCCCAGGGCGGAGAGGGAGGCACAGGGCGGAGCGGGAGACGCAGGAGGAGCCGGGAGGCAGGACGGGGACGCCCGCCGCCGCCGCCGCGCCCGCGGCGCCCGCGCGGAGGGGGCGAGGGCGGCGGCCTCGGGCGCCGCGGCGGGGCGGCCGCTCGAGGGCGGCTGCTTCGGGCGCAGCTGCCGCGCGGCAGGGGCGGCCTCGCGATGGGGGGGGGGCAGGAGCTCCCCAGGGAGGCCGGCGCGGTCGAGGGCAGGAGGAGGAGGAGGAGGAGGAGGAGGAGGAGGAGGAGGAGGAGGAGGAGGAGGAGGAGGAGGGGGAGGAGGAGGAGGAGGGCTGCACAGCAGGCACATGCGACAGGAAACCTTGCTCTCAGCAGGCGGTGAGGAGGAGGACGAGGAAGGGGACGAGGAGGAGGAAGAGGCCAGGATAGCAGGGCGGCTGCGTCAGGCGCAGCTGCCGCACAGCACGGGGCGGCCTCGCGAGGGGACGGACAACATACAGCAGACACGTGCGACAGGAAATCCTGCTGGAGGAAAACGTGGGCCACACTCTTTGTCGATCTTTTGGGGGTCCTGAGGTCCCAGGGTTGTTTCGGGTCCCTGGGGCCATCAGGGGATAAGACATGTCCGTGGGGCACCTGCTGACAGGCCAGTTTTGCCTTCGATGCGGGAGAAATTTCGACAGTTCAAGAGGGTGAGGCGGGAGAAGGAAGGGGGCGAGGAAGGAATCCTGCGGAATGCTCCAGGGTTCCATGGTCGAGCGCCGTCGCATACAGCAAATCTCCCTTAGGAGGCTCCCCGCCACTACGACTCGAAGAAGGCTCAAGAATCGACACCCCGCGGCCCAAGCGGACGGGGGGCCACCGCACCCCCTCCAAGGAGGGCCGAGGATGGGAGGGAGAAAGGAGTGGGATGGACGGGTGAGGCGAGACGCTGGACTGCAGCTCCACGACTTCCCTCGACTGAAGCCTTTCCAGCTCCTTTCGTTCAGTCAAGTCGCGCTCTGGACTGCGGCAGCGAACAGGCGCGAGCGCAGAACGTGAACTGGAACCCTGTCCCCCTTGGCCGCAATTTTCCTGACAACAGCGATGACCACAGCCATGGTGACCTCTTACACGACACGTCCTTGCCCATAAGTGCCAATGCCCACTCTCTGAGGCGGGATGAGCAAGGCCCGGCTCCAACACTCCAAAGCCAAGGCCCTGGAGAAGGGACAGCCTGCCGCACACATAGGCTGCTAACTCGCGGCATTGCACACGCCTCGTCAGCCTCGCCTGTTCACGCCGACGAAGCAATACAAAACACGCAAAGTATCCCGACTTCTTGAGCTGACCCGATGCCCGTTGACGCTGGACGGGCTGTCAAGCAACGCATGGGCGAGACGGTCGTTGCGTCTGTCGGGCACTGGCCTTCCTGGTGGGCAAGAAACCAAAGCAGGTTCGGAAGGAGGAAGAGACAAACGCAGAGAGTAGGGAGGAAGAGGAGAAAGGAGAGGAGAGGCACGACGGGAGACATTGATGTCCTCGGGCCCTCAACCTGCCTCAGTGAGACTCGTCGGAGGCGGCCCTCTCCAATCGCTCAGGGTTGCCTGCGATCCGTAATCGCAGTGCCCCCGTCCACGAAGACGAGTACTGGGCTGAAAAGGCAAGCAAAGACACGAGCACGACACTGCTCAGCATGGCAAGAGAAAATGGCTCTTCCCTTGTCCCCCTTTGCCCCTCCGACATTGTTGTTTGTTTTGTCAGAGTGAAGGGGGCCGAACGGTCATTCACTCTCTCTCTCTCTCTCTCTCTCTCTCTGGGCGCGTGGCTGAAGTGAGGTTCCACGGTGAGGATTGCTGGTGTCGTTGTTGTCGCTGAGGTTGCTGCAGTTGTTGCTGCTGGTCTTGCAATTGTTGTTGTTGGTGTTGTTGGTGAAGGTTGATGTTGTTGTTGGTGCTGCTGCTGCTGTTGTTGTTGACCTCTCACTACTGGACAATAATGATTGTTGATCCCCTCTCCGGGGCACGTTTTGTTTTGAATTTGAAGAGCCCTTCCCGGGGCTCGCACCTCGCTTTGCTTCATTAGAAAGTCAGGGACAATATGGGGTCTCAGAATTGTGTCTTCAGCCCCCGGTTTACAACAACAGCGGATCCCGCCTGATAATTCCTCACTCACAGCTGATTCCCAAATCGCTCTCTCGCGCGGGACGTCCTCACAATGAATGCTGAAATCGCCCTCTCGCGTGGGAGCTCATCGCAATTTATTCAGGCGCCGCACCCTACACACTCAAGAATCACGCTCTCGCTTTTGCCGATCTTCCGACTTACTTGGGAAACGCGCTACCGCTCGAGCCCTGTCTTCCATCCGTCCTCTCTTCCCCTGCCGTAGGGGCTACATACGATACACGTTGCAGGTAAGAAAGATATACTCCAAGGGGGTACGATCGAAGACGAAGAGGGCGGGTATTGAGCGTTTGGGATCTACGTCTTGATTGGCACGCGAACAGAAACAAATTTACATGATTGTTGCTGTTATTTCGGGCGTAGCCCGAATTCGTTTCTCGCAAAGTAAACTCACTGAACTGAGCTGAACAGACTGGTCGCACCCGTTACGCGACAGTTTTATTCTCGGCCGCAAATGGCAACCTATGGCGCAACCGATCGGAGACGGTTTTATTCTCGGCCGCCGAGGGCGCAAACGATGGTGCAACCGATAAGAGACAGTTCTATGTTCGGCCGCCGAGGGCGCCGCCTATGGCGCAACCGAGAGGGTCCTGCTTTATTCTCTGCCGCCGAGGGCGCAACCGATGGCGCAACCGATAGGCGACGGTTTTATTCTCGGCCGCCGAGGGCGCAACCTATGGCGCAACGGATCGGAGACGGTCTTATTCTCGGCCGTCGAGGGCGCAACCGATGGCGCAACCGATAGGAGACGGCTTTATTCGCGGCCGCCGAGGGCGCAACCGATGGCGCAACCGATAGGAGATGGTTTGATTCTCGGCCGCCGAAAGCGCAACCTATCGCGCAACCGATAGGAAACGGTTGTATACTCGGCCGCCGAGGGCGCAACCTATGGCGCAACCAATAGGAGACTGCTTAAATTTCAAGGCTGCCGCCGCTGTCGCCGACCCCAGGGAAAAACTATGGGGGATGAGCAGGGGGAAGAAGAGGAGAAACGAGGACGAGGCCTTAGACGAGGACGACGAGGAAGAGCTGGAGCAGGAAGAAGACGAGGAAGACGAGGAGGATGAGGAGGAGGACGAGGATGAGGACGACGACGACGAACAGGATGGCGAGGAGGACGGGGAGGAATACGAGTAGTGAGAGGAACAAGTGTGGGCATTCGAATGCGTGCGGGGCTACGCCCGATTTATGCTCGCCGTTTGGGCTGGCGGTGGGGTCCAAGCGGCGAACTGTCTTGTGATTATCATTTTTATTGTAATTGTTGGTGTTGTTATTGTTGGTGTGTTTTTGTAATTGTTTTTGCGTTGTTTGTTGTTTATTGCTGTCGTTCCACCCGCGATCTACCCGCGACCCACCCTCGACATACCCCGCGACCCACCAACAACCACCCGGCGACCCACCCGCGACCACCCCGCGACCCTCCCGCGACCCACCCGCGACTCACCCCGCGAACCGCCCGCAACCCACCCACGACCAACCCGCGACCCACCCACATTGATTTACCGCATCGGTCGGCGCAGTATTTGTAAGCTATTAGACACATTTTGTGAAAATTAAACGCCTGCGGCGGGCTTCTGCAGAGCCTCGCACTGCCGACGACCCCGCCGCCCCCTGATTCTCATCCGCAACTGGGGGGTGCTGCGCATCATCTCTGACAGCGGCCGCGACCCGGAGGGGGGCGCTCGAGCGGGGTGGGGCACGTCGAGGCGGGGGTGCGCGGCGATTGCCAGAGTATGCGCGCGAGCATCAGCATGGGAGGGGGGCGCCAGGTCCAACCCTCCCCACCCAACATACGATCACCATTACCCGGGTAAGGAGAGTTACGCGCCAGAGAATACCAAACAGACGATCTCAAAGACGCCCCTCCTCCTCCTCCTCTTCCTCCTCCTTGTCCCCCTCCTCCTCCTCCTTCTCCTCCCCCTTCTCCTCCTCCTCATTGTCCTACGCCTCCTTCTCCATCGTCCCCCTCCTCGCCATGCTTCTCCTCCTCGACCCCCTCCACCTCCGCTTCCCCCTCCTCCTCCCCCTCCTCCTCCCCCTCCTCCTCCTCCTCCTCCTCCTCCTCCTCCTCCTCCTTCTCCTCTGCTTGTCGATGCCGCGACAGCGCTGCCTCCGCCCGCCGGTCGAGGAAGGCCGGGCCGCGGCGGACAGTGCTCAACACGGGTCACGCCCTGCACCGAAGGGTTCCCGCGTAGACGCGGCGCTCCTCCCTTCTGCGGACGCCTCCGACCTGTAGGCCCTGCGGGCCCTCACAGCCAGGAAGGCCCCGCGGGCAGCGTCCACTCGGCAGATGGAGCTCACTCGGCAGGTGTGGGAATGCCAGAGAAGTGGCCGACCCGGCCCAGTGCCTGAACCTCGGGCGGACTTCCTCCACCAGCTCGCGCCAACATCGGAGGACAGGTGCTGCGCTCTGAGCATCCTGCTCGGCCAGAGCTTGGCAACAGAGGCCAGCGAAGCAGGAGAGGGCTGGGTGGCGTCCTGTCCGCCGCGTCGCCCACGGAAGAGAAGAGGAGGGCAGAGGGGCCGCCGCATATTGGTGGGGAGGAGGAGGACCCGACGCGCGCAACCAGCGGGCGCCCGGGGGCCGTCGAGCACGCTCTCCCTTGACGCCCCCACGGGCTGGCCAGCAGGGCTCATCGGGGGCACGGTCGGGAAGGCGACCACATTGCACCACTCGCACGAGACGGTACCCAGGGCGCCGATGCCCCAGCTTTCGCCAAGGAGGATCGGCGTACACAGCAACAGGCACAGGGAAGGCCTCAGGAACGGCCCTGCTGTGATAGCCTCTGCAGCCTCCGCCCATCGCGCCGCACTCCTGCACTTGGGAACGGGGCCGCATGATGGTATGGAGGACGACGCCAGATCGCCAGGCCTGGCTGTCGCGGCCAGCACTGCGCGGTCTCCTCAGGAGAACGCTGGCGCGCTCCCGACAAGCGCGGATCAGACGAATCCAGCAAACGAACAACCTGGCAGGCACAGCCGACCTCTCGCTTCTGGCCCCCCTGGGCGGCAGTCTGGCATTGGCGAGGGCGCCCTGGTCCTGTAGCACAGCGCGCATGCCAACAACGATCCCCTCACGCTGATTTCTTTCATGGATACAAGCTGCCACTGCAGAACAACGAGGTGAAATGACAATCTCACATGATCGCCGTGCCGCCGATTTTCGGGCACCGCTGGTCGAACCAAGCCCTGCCGCCGATACCAGCCCCACGGCAATGTTTTTCTCCACACGGCTGATCTGCAACACTGGGTTCAACCATCTCGCCGGTATTGTCCTGCACCCACTTCCACTCGAACTGTGGTCGAGCCGCGGCCAGAAGAACGTGAGTCAAGAAAGCAAGCCCCTTCGCCGAACACCGAGGCCCAATGAAGAGACCCCAACCGAAGAACGTCCAGCATGGAGGTCCCAAGCACGAAGAAGGTGAATGAGAAGGTGAATGGCACCCCACCAAGGTTAACGTTGTTCGAACCTCTCGTGCCAGCTGTGCAATGTCTGCAAGCCCACCACTCTATTGCATGTGTACGCGAAAGGTCCCCGTGCGGTTGCCGTCCGCTTCGGTGTCTTTCGGCGCCTGCGACATCCGTACAATGGGGAGTAAAAAGGGAGTGGAGGGGAAGGAGATGGCCACCGCCATCGCCACCACTTCTGGCGCCACTTCCGCCTCCAGTACGGACATCATTGTTATTATCCCACCACTCCAACTGTCACTAGTCTAAACATTGCCATGACGAGAGCTTCGACGCTGGAGCCTCGGCCCCGCTCTGATTTTGCGACGCTCGATGTCCTTCTCCGCCCCCCGATGCCGCCCGCCCCTTGTCTCATGTCCTTCCCCTCTCTTCACATCTTCTCCCACTGCAAGGGTCCGCGCACGCAGCCTCTCCTCCCTCCTTCTCCTCTCGGTGTGTTACCTTTCCACTTCGTCCTCCTTCCCCTCCCGCCTGTGTCTTATTGGTATGGCTGTCCGTTCTCCGTGTTGTTCCTCCTCCCTCCCCTGACTGCCGATGCCCCCCCTCCTGCTGCTCCTTCTGCTCCTCATGCTCATGATATCGCTGATGCTGCTGCTCCTGCTCCTGCTCCCACAACTCTTGATCCACACACTGAGATGACCCTCGCCCTCGCATCAAAGCACTGCGCGTCATCGTGCTCCTGCTCTGGCTCTCTGCTGCTGTTCCCCCTCCGCCCAGTCCTCCCGCTGGCCGAATTCCTGCTCATCATGCCCCTATTCCTCCTCCTCCTCCGCCTCCTCCTCCTCCTCCTCCTCGTCCTGTTCCTCCTCCGTCTCCTCCTCCTCCTCCTCCTCCTCCTGTTCCTCCTC